GGGATCATGACCCGAGCCGAAGGCAGACGTTTAATGGCTGAGCCACCCAGGCGCCCCAAATAAATAAAACTCTTTAAAAAAATAACCAATTAGAAAACATGCAAAAAAGGATCCTATTCAGAATAGTAAGAAAACCCATAAGAGATCCAGGACTAAATCAAAGATCCATGTGAATAAAATATAAAAATTCAAAGGCATGAAAGAAAAACAAGTGTAAAGACATATTCCTTGGATGCAAAGAGTCAATATTGAGGATATCAGTACTACCTTTAAGTCAATCTTAGAAATTCAGTGCTCCCCAGTGGATTTTTTAAATTTTTATTTTATTTTTAAAAAAGATTTTATTTATTTATTTATTTAGAGAGAACAGGGAGAAGGGCAGAGGGAGAGGGAAGAGACTCTCAAGCAGACTCTACAATGAGTACAGAGCCTGACTCGGGGCTCGATCTCATAACCCTGAGCTCAAATCAAGAGTCAGATGCTTAACCAACTGATGCTTAACCCAGATGCCCCATCTCCCCAGTGGATTTTTTTTTTAAGATTTTATTTCTTTATTTGACAAAGAGAGAGAGCACAAGCAGGGGGAGCAGCAGAGGGAGAGGGAGAAGCAGGCTCTCCTCTGAGCAGAGAGCCCGACATGGGGCTCCATCCCAGGACCCTGAGATCATGACCTGAGCCGAAAGCAGAAGCTTAACCAACTGAGCCACCCAGGCGCCCCATCCCCAGTGGATTTTTAAAAGTAAAGCATGTCAGGGTGCCTGAATGGCTCGGTCAGTACATGTCCTTTCATACATGTCCTTCTAGGACCTTTTCTATACATCTACATATATATATTTTTTAATAGATTTTATTTGTCAGAGAGAGAGAGAGCACAAGCAGGGGGGAGCGGCAGGCAGGGGGAGAAGCAGGCTCCCTGCTGAGCAGGGAACCCGACTCGGGACTTGATCCCAGGACCCCAGAATCATGATGACCTGAGCTGAAGGCAGACACTTAACCAAGCCACCAGGCACCCCTACAACCACATATATATTTATATCTACAGCCACACACACACACACACACACACTTACACAAACCCTTTCTTCATTAATAAAAAGCTATTGTAAATATCCTTCTGCTTTTTCATTCAGTGGAAGGTGCTACTATTATCCCCATTTCACAAATGAGAAAACTAAGTCACAGAGAGGTGAAGTTCCTTACCCAAGTTCACACAGCTAGGAAGTCACCAAACTGGGATTCTAACCCTGGGTGTCTGGCTCCAGACCCTACCACTATAGGCCTATAAGTGTGAAGCCTGTGATTGAAAGCTTTGAAGGGTTTTGAACAGGGAATTGACATGTTTTATGCTTTAAAAAGATCTTTCTAGATAATGTTTAGAACCGATATGGTAGCATGGGTAGGAGCATGGAGACTAGTTAATTGCTCACACCCAGGGACACATGTTGGTGGTTTGCACTAGAGCAGCAGATGGGGAGAACTGCCAAATCAGGACATATCATGGAGGTAGAGCACTTAGGGATTGAATGTGGAATTGCAAAGGGAAAGAAGAGTCATGGGAGACTTGTGAATTTTTGGCCTGAGTAAACAGTAAGAGATAGGGGCATTACTGAACTGGGACACATTGGAGGAATGAGCAGTTTGGGGATAAAATTGAGTTTTGTTTGGCACTTCGAATTTGAGTGCCAATATGACCTCCAAATGGACAATTGAATATACTGAATGTGTTTAGGGAATCGGGTAGGGCTAGAAAGAAAGACCTGTAAGTCATCAGTGTGTTGGAGGTCCTTGGGCAGAGACTGGATGAGATTCCTAGGGAATGAGTGTAGATAGAGCAGAGAATGGAGATGGAGTGACTCTCCTGTGTGGTACTCCTCACAGCAATTTCATACTTATTTCACAATTCCTCTAATTTTTTCATCTCTTACTAGACCAAAGCTCCTAAACTGCAGGGACTGTGATCTCCTTCCCCCACCATTATATCTAACAACATGGTGCCTGGCCTTCAGCCGGGCTCAAAGAATCAAAGGCATTTTTAAAAGGTGATTTGGCAGTATGAGCAGGGCAGCTGACTCATCAATTCATTTCTAGAACTAGAACCCAGGGCGCCTGGGTGGCTCAGTTGGTTAAGCGACGGCCTTCGGCTCAGGTCATGATCCTGGAGTCCCACATCAGGCTCCCTGCTCCGCAGGGAGTCTACTTCTCCCTCTGACCCTCCTCCCTCTCATGCTCTCTGTCTCTCATTCTCTCTCTCTCAAATAAATAAAATCTTAAAAAAAAAAAAAATTTAGAACTAGAACCCCAAACATGTTCACATCTGTGCAAAAAGAAGTACATCCAAGGGTGTTTATTGCGACATTATTTGTAATTGTGAAAAATTGGAAACAGATGACCTGCAAAGGGAGCATGGTCAAACAGATTATAATACATTCATATTAGGAAATACTGAGAAAGGGTCCAGCACTGTGGAGAGAGGGTAGGCTCTGGAGCCACACCAGCAGGGTTAGAATCTCAGCTTGGCCACTTTCTAGCTTTTTAATTTTGAGGAATTACCAGAACTTTCTGTGCCTTAGTTTGCTCATTTGTGGAATGGAGAATAATAATAGCACTTTCTACTAAGTGAAAAAAGAAGCATCTTATAATAGCCTAACAGAAAAAAAAACATTTGTGTAAATGTGTGTGTATATGGAAAAAAAAATGTATGTGTATAGCTATGAATACAAATATACATGTAAATGCATAGAAAGGATCAGACAACGGTAACAACCCCAGATAGGGTAAAGAGAGTCGAAGTGAGTTAATGGGAATATTCACACGTTGCTATCAATACTTTTATGTTAATTTTTTTACAACTTTAATATATCAATATATTAGTTGCATAATTAAAATCAATAAAAGGGGGCGCCTGGGTGGCTCAGTCGTTAATCCAGGGTCCCAGGGTCCTGGGATCGTGCCCCACATCGGGCTCCCTGCTCAGCGGGAAGCCTGCTTCTCCTCCCCCTCCCGCTCCCCCTGCTTGTGTTCCCTCTCTCACTGTGCCTCTCTTTGTTAAATAAATAAAATCTTAAAAAAAAATAAAACCAATAAAGGTGAAGATGAAAGCTGTATATATAAGATACATATATGTAATATGTGATGTGACAGATTATATTTTCCAAAGATGACCATACCAACATATATCCCATTCCACATGCTTTTCTCACAATGTGATACAATGTTGGTTTTCCTCTATCAAGGGTGGGGCTTCATTTCCTTTCTTTGAACCTGAGAGGACATTTGTTAACTGCTTGGACCAATAAAATGTGGTAGATGTAATGCTGTCTAACTTCAAAGGCTAAGTTAAAAAAAGAGATAGAGCTTCCACCTAGCTCTATTTCTCTTAAAACACTTGTCCTTGGAAACCAGACCAACGTGGAGAGGTCATGTGTGTATGTCTTTTGGCTAACAGCTCCAGCTAGACCCCCAGCTGACAGCCACGAAAACCCACTGGATATATGAGTAAATAATTCTTCCCCATGATTCCAGCTCCTAGCTTTCGAGTTTTCCAGCTGAGGCCCCAGACATTGAGGAGTTAAGATAAACCATTCCCACTATGGCATGTCTGGATTTCTGAATCACAGAAATCATGAGACTTTATATATTTCACATGCATATATATTTTGAAAAAGTACTATCATACAAATTTCATTTCTTATTCTTATCACTTGAGTATATCAAAAATACCTTTCCTTATTAATAGATACCTTAGTACAGCATCATTGCTAATGGTTTTCTTTACTGTATATTTTACCATAATTTAACAAACTCTTACTTTTGGACATTTTGGATGCAGCAAATGTTTCCTATTTGGAATTCCTATTTGGAATCACCATTTCAAAGCACATATATGTGCACATATTTTTATGCATATCCTTAAACATTTTGGCTTAATTCTTAAATCTCTATTTCCCGGAGAGAAATTGCCACTGGTTAAAAATAAAATCATCAGCCCAATAAATGTTTATGTAATAGAGTAATATTTAAAACAAGGTTGGATCTGTGCCCTTAAGAAACTCACCTTTTGGGGTGCCCGGGTGGCTCAGTCAGTTAAGCGTCCAACTCTTGATTTTGGCTCAGATCATGATCTCAGGGATATGAGACTGAGCTTCCGCCCAGCGTGGAGTCTGCTTAAGATTCTCTCTCCCTCTGCCCCTCACTCTCTCTTTCTTGCTCTCCCTCTCTAAAACAAACAAGCAAAAACTTACCTTTAGCAGGAGAAAGACAGGTGAACAAATAAGGATAATATATAGGATTCCAATATATTGTACGTACACCCATGAGCTTGACCTATGAACAAATTCTCTATTTTGCAAATGCAATAATGCTACAGAAAGTTTCCTTTTATTTGCTGGAAAGCATTTATTACCTGTAACCCAAAACGAGAGCTTCTAATTCAGATTTCATTTGCAGAAAATACACTTTAGGTCCTTTGCTAGTATAGTTTAAAGGAATAAAATAAGCACATTGAAGTTTAGTAGACTTTTATGTTGCCAACATACATAGAATTCATAATCCTACAATTGTTAGTCATTGCTATTAATTTTCACTCCAAATTAATTTGGGCTTTCTAGTATTTGTTTCCTTTTTGGGGGAGGGAGGGAGGCTTTCTAGTATTTGCGCCTGACTTAGGTACATGCTCTTAAACTGAAAGCTGAAAACCATGTATAAGAAATGCACGAATACACCCAAGAAGCAAGAACTAAGTAAGAGAGCTCGTTACACACAGATATCTTGCATATCAGACATAGACGACTTGTGTATGGATGGAAATAATTTGGGTTATGGGAGGACTTGCACAGCCAGGATGCTCCCTAACATCACTGGCTTCACACCCGCATTTTCACTTGTGCAGCAGCAACTTGAGTGAGCCTCAGTGCCTTTCTATCCACCATGCTTGGCAACAGGTACTAGAAGTTAACTGGCAGTCATAAGGGCACATACTTCCTAAACTCTTTGAAGAAACCGTGTAGCAAGGCAAGAGTGGAATTTAAGAAACAAAATCACGATTCAATCTTGTACGATGAATGGGAAGCTGAAGAACTGGGTAGGCCACGCAGCGGAGAGTCAAGGGAAAGCCCGGCGTGGTATCTGCGGCTCGGGGGCCACCAGGTGGCGGCCTGAGAGTGTAAGCAGAAATTCCCGGCCCGGCGCGGGGACCTGAAACCCCAATTCTTCTTCCACCAGATAGCGGCCGGGAAACAACAGTCCTTTACCACTCCATAGGCGTCAGTATGTCTTCTATGTGCACTACACTCGAATACAAACAGTGAAGCGAGCAGTCCATCAGAAAAACGCTGGTTAAAATTATCCCGGCGGGCGGCGCCGGTAGGAGAAAGCCGGAAGAGATGCCTTGACCACTCTCCAATAAGCCGACTTCTCTCCTCCGCTGCCTCCCGCAGCCGTGGGCGCGGGCCGTGCCGGGTCACACTCGGGATCGGAGTGCTGGGCTGCAGTGAAGCGTTGGCCAAGGGACGCTATTACCCAGCACCAGTCGCGACCTCGGCGACCGCGGGTCGACCCCGGGCCGGAAGTGACGCAACTGCACTGAGCACTTCCGGAGCTGCGGAGACCGCTCCGCGGGAGGAAGGAGCGCGGGCCTTGACCGGCGTCGGCCCGTCGCCTCCGCCCGCCGCGTCTGCGTCTGTGTCTGAAACCTCTGGCCCGGCCGGACCCGGTCTGGCCCGCCGGGGCTCAGCGGCCGCGGGCTGCGGCTCCCGGTAAGTGTGCGGCGCGGGTCGCGGCCTTGTTTACCCAGGCGGGCCGGGGAGGGGGGTGGGCTCTCCGCGCGCCTCCGCCTTCGTCGCCGCCCGCGAGGCCCCAGTGCCCCCGGCCGCCGGTTCCCCGTCTCAGCGCCCAGCGCCGCCCGCGGAGGGGCGGCTGAAGGCTACCACCGGGGCGGGCTGGCTCCTGGCGTTTCTCCGTTTTTCCTCCTCCCGCCGTCTTCACAGCTCCCGGAGAGGTCGGAGGCCAGCGCCTCTGACCGACTGGCGCCGGCGCATCTTGGCCCTCCCCACCCGGCGCGCCGGGGATACGCGCCGCCTCCGGGGCTTCTCACTCTAGTCATCATTCGGAGCCCTCGCAGTGCCACCCGCACAGTTAGTTAACGCTCGCCTGCGAAGGGTCCCCCTGCGCGTGGGCTCCGTGTCCTCGCGACTGTCCCTGCGCCTCGGTAGAAACGTGCGGCCCAGGAGCTGCGCCGCCGTCTCGCCGGACGCTGCTGTGCTAGCGGCGGGAGAGACAGCCGTGTTGTCGGATGACTTCACTTCTGTACTGATTGTTGCTCTGTCCCGTAGAACTTTCTGCCACAACCGACATATTCTATACTTTTGTTCTTAAGTAGGGTAGCCACTAGCTACACGTGGCTATTGAACATTTGACTTACGGCTAGTGAGACTGAAAAACCAAATTTTAGGTTTTTATTTTTAAGTCAAATTTTAATAACTACATGGGGCTAGTGGCTACCGTATTAGAGTGTAGGGTTTTGGAAAGTAAGTTACTGGTTTATATTTTAAAAGTGCTAAGTAGTTTTCTTCGGAGATGTAGCGTTAGTAAATGACCATTCAGAGCCAAATATTATGTCTGGAGTAAACATCTTCAGAGTCGCCAAAAAGTGTTCTCGTCAACTTTAAACAGAGAAGTCTTCAGTTTGGATCCTTTAGCCCAGGGAGAGTGTCAACGTCTCCTGAACACGTGACTTTGGCTGGGGGGGGGGTAAATTTCTATTACTCCTTTTCTGTGTGGGGTGGAGGGATAATATTTAACATCCAAAGGAAATCAAAGCGTTGTCATCAGTTCTTTTAATAAGGTAATAACATTCTGGCCCCTTTGAACAGTGTCAGCACTCTTTTGAGTAGAATTAGGGATATTTAACTTTGAAAAGATTAAAAATTAAGTTTTTATCTAAATCTGGACCTATGGGCGCCTGGGTGGCTCAGTTGTTAAGCAATTGCCTTCAGCTCAGGTCATGATCCTGGAGTCCCAGGATCGAGTCCCGCATCGGGCTCCCTGCTCAGCGGGGAGTCTGCTTCTCCCTCT